TGTGCCGCCGCAGCCTGCTCACCCAACGCCTTGCATTCGCGCCGCTGTGCGTCCAACTCGCGCTCCAGCGCCTGCACCCGGCGTCGAGACTCCTCGCAGTGTGTGCTGCGGCAGCTCGCTTCCGCACAGGCGCATCCCTTGCCCTGCTGCAACGTCAATTGCCTCTGCAGGCGCAGAACTTCCCGCTGGGATTCGCGCTGCAGTCGGTCCAAGTCGCTGAGGTTGAGCCACTGCGCACGAGGGACTCCCCCTGCAGGCTGCGTGGGGCTATCGAGGCCGGTGGCTACGCGCTCCTGCAGCAGGTGGCACTCCCGCTTCAGCTCTTCGATCTGCTGGTCTTTGGCTAGCAGCGCGCTGGCCTGCTCTGACAAGTCCCTGGCGCGCTGGCGGGCCAGGGCCTGGCACAGCTCCATGCCCGCGCGGTTCTCGCCCAGCACCGGCGCGCTCAGCGCTCGCAGGTTGGTCTCCTGCAGCTTTCGGGCACGGTCCTCCAGGCGCCGTGCAAGGCCAGCCAGCTCCGCGTGCTTCATCTTGAGCAGCTTCACCTTCTCGTCCTCCTCGCGTGGGCCGCCACTGCGCCGCAGCTGCAGGTTCTCTTCGCGCAGTTCGGAGCAGCAGTGCGCCAGCTTCTGCAACGCTTCGCTCAGCTCCGAGTTCCGCTTCACCAGTGCACGGTAGCAGAGGCCCAGCAGTGAGGGCGTCAGACCCTCTGGGGGCCGATTTCCAGAGCCTTCTCCGCTCGGGTCTTTAAGTTTTCTGTGTGCCCTTGGCGGCGGGGAATTGGGGAATCCCGCGGCAGAGGTGTCTGTGGAGGATGCTGGAGCCTCAGACTCGGAGGCCTTGGGGCAATTCAGGGTGCTGTCGCGTGAGCAGACGTGAGCCGTCGCCAAGGAATCCAGGGAGCTGGCGCGCGCGGAGAGCCAGCAGTCAGGGGATTCCCGGCGCGCCTCCCGCAACCTCTCCAAGGAGCGGGAGCGAACGCGGACCCCGGCGTCCAGATTGTCGGGGGATCCGAGTCGAAGGGGGCCCCTCGGGGTGCGGTGCGCGCCGCTGGCAGTGTCGGGGAGTGGGTCTTCCGAGGAATTCTCGGCCTGGGGGTCCTGGGGCCCCGGTAAAGCCGGCTGCCAGCGGAAGTGCTCCAG